GTTAGCAGGTTGGTCAGCTGATGCCACTTGTCTACAGTCCGCCCAGCAGCTGCGCTTTGTGCGCCAGTGGTCGGTTTTCGGCAAGACACTGTGCCGCGCCCTGCCGGAGCTCGCGGGGGCAGCCTTGGGCCTGGTGGTGCTTGCCGTGGCCTACGCCCAGCTGGCTGTTCTGGTAGGTGTTCTGTGGGGCTGTGGGAGAGGGTGGCTTAGCCTGTGCCAGCCCCTCACTCTTGCCGTCTTCCTGCAGTTGGTCTCCTCCTGTGTGGACTCCCTTCGGAGCGCAGCTCGGACCCTCTTGGTGCTGTGCCCAGGTGCTGGGAGTCCTGCCCTGTGCCCTGCCGAGTCCTGGCGCCTGTCCCCCGTGTTGTGCACCGGGCTCTGGGCCCTGCGGCTGTGGGGTGCCCTGAGGCTGGGGGCAGTCCTTCTGCGGTGGCGGTACCATGCTCTGCGGGGGGAGCTCTACCGCCCAGCCTGGGAGCCGCAGGACTACGAGATGGTGGAACTGTTCCTGCGCAGGCTGCGCCTCTGGATGGGCTTCAGCAAGGTTAAGGAGGTGGGTACGGCCCAGTGGGGGGGAGAGGGACGCACCCTGGGCGCAGCCGAGCCCAGGGCGCAGCCGGACTGACCGAGCCCCTGTGCCGCCCCCAGTTTCGCCACAAAGTCCGCTTTGAAGGGATGGAGCCATTACCCTCCCGCTCATCTAGGGGCTCCAAGTCTTCTCCGGACATGCCCCCACCCAGTGGGGGCTCCGACGCTTCTCGCCCCTCCACCTCCTCCAGCCAGCTGGACGGGCTGAGCGTGAACATGGGCCTGGGCCGGCCAGGGCCCCGAGGGGAGACAGAGCCTGAGCCCTCCCGCCTCCAAGCTGTGTTTGAGGCCTTGCTGGCCCAGTTCGACCGACTCAACCAGGCCACGGAGGACGTCTATCAGCTGGAACGCCGGCTGCAGAGCCTGCGTGGCCTCAGGAACAGTGGGCCCCCAGCTTCCACTCCCACCTTCCCCCTCCCAGGCCTGCGGCCAGCCCTGCCCAGCCGCCTGGCCCGGGCCAGTCGAGGGGTTGGCCTGACTACAGGCCCCAGCAGGGTGTCCCTGCGGGCCAAGAATAAGATCCACCCCAGCAGCACTTAGCCTCCGGGCATCTGGGCTCATGCCTCTTCCCTGGGGTGGGCCTGTGACTTTACTCCGGCCCCTCAGAGCCAGAGCAGACGCCGCTTAGTATTATCTTCTGCCACCCTCCAGGTTTCGGGCCAGGCAGAACAGCTGCACACAGGTCCCCCAGAGAATGGACAGCACTTGTCTGTCTCTCTGTGGGCTTCAGCACTTTAAAGAGGCCATGTGGCCAGCCAGGACCCAGGGTCCCCTCCTCAGTTCCCTGTGGGAGGACACAGCAGTATTGGACTGAGTGCCCAGCCTCTGAGATGCTAATTTATTTCCCAAGTCCTCAGGTACAGCGGGCTGTGCCCGGCCCCACCTCCTGGGCAGACATCTATCTCCCCTTGCTAAGGATCCAGGCTGCGGGGAGGGAATCTGCACTTCCTGTTATCCTCCCCCTAAATTATTACCTCCTGCCCCCTTGCTGAGTGCACTCACCTCCAGCCACCGCTGTGTGTCTATTGTCAGTAATTTATGTGGGGTTAAAATGTATATATTTTTGTACGTCGCTTTTTTTCAGTAGGGTCAAGGGGCTTGGTGGCTGAACCAACCTGCACCCACTGTCACCCACAGCGAGGGGGAGCTGGGACTGCAGAGCTGGCCTTCTTCCCCAGACACCTGCCTTTATGGCTGGGGAAGCAACAGCTGCTTCTTGGAACCAAGTCTGGCCTTGGGCAGATGGGGCTGTTGGATGGGGCACCATCACCACTGTGGCCTTATTTTCCTGCCCTGCCCAAGGTGGGGCAGGGAGAAGGAAGGCCTAGGGCCTGCTGGCGTCAGGTCTAGGGGAGGGACAGGGCCCGTGCATGGCACAGGACCCCAGGGTAGGTAAGGGGAAAGACCTCTCCCCGGGAGCTGGCTCTCGGGCCAGGAGAGGTGAGTGTGACAGTGCATGTGTGAAAACCCGCATGGTGGCACGTGAGGCTTTCCTGAGGGTGAGGCCCCACTAGCAGCCAGATAGGCCACTGCCCTTGTCCAGTGGGCATGGCCAAAGCTACAGCCTTAATCCCACCCTGTCCCCTGATAGACGAAGTCAAATAAATGAGTTGGCTGACTTGACCGCTCCCGTCTGTCTGTCTAAGCGCACAGGCCTGGGAACAATGGCACTTTATTTGCGCAAATAAATACCTCCCAGCGCCTCCTGGGAGCAGAGAGGGACCAGCAGCACGGCTGCTCAGGTGACAGGAGCCTGGGCACATACTCAGCATCTGGGAGACCCCAGTGGGGCTGGGCAGCCGCTCACGCACAGCCTCACACAAACTCAGTGAAGTCATCCACAGAGGAGATGAGGCGCTTCCGCTGGCCTGTCTCATAGGTGGGTGTGGGCTCAGCCGGGGCCTGCGCTGGGGCCTTGGTGTGACCCTGAGTGTGCGTCTGGATCAGGGGCAGGCTGGCGTTGGAGTAGTGGGCTTCCTCACGGATCTGAGGGATAGGGAGCTTTGGCAGCAAGCCCAGGAGGGGTTGCATGCACACCCACCGGCATCTGTTCAGCCATCATGTCTCTGCCGGGCCACTCCCCCACCAATCCGGTGCACATCATGCCCTTAGCCCAGCCTCCCTACCCGGTGGCGGAGCCGCTTGATGTGGCGGAGCCTGGCGATCCACTTGGAGGGGTAGATGTCAGTGGGGTTGGAGCGGCTGTGGTGCACCTGTGAGGCCATCTGGGGTAGGGAGGGTGGGGCAGTGAGCCATGCAAGGGTGGCACCTGTGGGCCCAACCCACCCACCCCCAAGTGCCAAGTCTGCTCACATTTGCGTGCAGGGCCATCTGGCGGGCCACGAAAGGCAGATTTCTATCAGACACAATCTTGGCCACACTGGTGTCCACTAGGCCCTCCATGTCTAGGGAGACACAGTGCTCACGTGGGGCTCAGGGCCCCAGGTGCTTCCCCACCCGGCCCCGGGCCTCACCTTTCCGGCACTGCAGTGACACCAGGTTACACTCATAGTCCAGGGGAGTGATAATCACGTGGACAAAGTTGAACTGGCCCTGTTGGGACAAGAACAGGGGTCACCCTGGCACCCATGGCCACTTTCTGCTACCCCCATACTTAGCCAAGAGGACAGTGGGCTCACTGGTTAGACACTTGCTAACTCAGCAAGTGGCCCAGCCTTGCACGTGTAGCCACTGAGCCATACACCCACGCTCCCTCCTAAACCAGCCTCGGGACCAAGCCTGCCACCCTGTCAACCCCACTCCTGCCTCACCCATGACCCAGCCTATTCCATACCTGATCCCAGCCCCTGAATGTGCCAAACAGGCACACAGCACCCCCCAACCCCTCCATGCTGCCCAAAGCTCCTGGGATATCCAGCCCTCAGCTTAGGAACCCCCATGCCCGAGCACCACCCCCCAGGGTGCCATCAGCACCCATGCCTCAGGCCCCTCCTGGGTTTCCTACCAGCCACACACCATCTCTAGCTCTGCAGCACAGAGACCCATGCCGGCCACCCCACAGGCGCTCCTGCCCTCTCCCCAATTCTCTGCCCCAAGCGCCAGGAGTCTGTGTTCAATGACTTCCTTTAAGGCTGCCTGTTACATTTAAAATAAACCCAAAGGCCTCTGAGGGCAGAACCTCAGGGCCTGGGCTGTGCCAGACACCGCATTTTCAGCCTCATGGCTTTCCCACAGCCACTCGCCCTGTGACAAGCCACCTGGACTTGAGCCTGCCTCCTCCCCATGGGATCTTGAGCCCCAGCATCCTCCTGGAGGACAGGGTGATACCGAGCCTACCCCAACCTCTGTGCGAAGACACAGGGAAGCCGCAGGGGAGCAGGGCTCAGAATGTGGTGCGCAGATGTTGAGCACCCACCACGTGCCACAGACCCTGCTAGATACACATGCGCATTAATTCAGTTCCTCCTCATAAGACCCGCAGCAGCAGGCACACAGGCTCCTTGAAGAAACCCACAGGGCTGCCGTTGTCCTCATTACAGAGGACGCAGGCTGGGGGGTACCCACTGGCAGTGGGTCCACTGGAGCGAGCTGTGCGCCCACGTGTCACCAACGCTAACCCAGTGGAGCTCAATGCTTCCACTCAACAGGCCCCGATAGGCACTTCCCCATGGAGATGCAGACCCAGCCAGGGTGCTCAAGAGCCGGGATCCACGCCTGCCCACCCTGAGGGCCCCTCGCTCACTTTGATGGTGCCCAGCTTGAAGTCCTCGCCAGAGTCATTGTAGACAATGGACACGAAGTCATTGCCTAAGTGGCGCTTCTTGTCACAGCGGTGCTTGTCCACATCCTTGGTGGGCATCAGGGTGGCGAATGTGGAAGACAGCTGAGGGTGGGACAGGGCTGGGCTGAGTGAGGCCCAGACAGGGCACTGGCAAGGGCTTCTCAGGCTGGGGTGGGCAGGGCCCTCTGTGCCGCTCGCCAGGGGTGCCTAGGTTTCTCCAGAGGTGACTGAGGGCCAGCGGGAACCACTTTCTCAGGTGCCCAGCCAGCGGCACTTGGCTCCTCCCACCAAGGGCAGGGCTCTCAGAAGCAGAGCTGCCAGCCCGATCGATCACTGCCTCAATGCCCAGGTTGGTGACCTCCTCTGGCTGCCCCCTGAGCTGGGCCCACAGGAGGGGTGGGGAGGGCACACACCTTGCATGATGTCGTCATGCCAGCAGTAGGTGAACTGGCCGTCCTCACCGCACACGTCCAGGCCACCCAGGTACACCTTATCCGGCTGGCAGTCCTTGAGCTCGATGAGCTTGCCCAGACCCGTCAGGAACTCCGTGTACCTGTAGGAGCCGTGCTCGTTGGACAGGATGGCGAGCTCACTGTTACTCTGCAGGGAAACAGGAGCACAGTGGGTGGCACCTGCTCCTGGGCTGCCCTCATCCACACACCCTGCCCCTCCCTGGCAGCATTCTCAGGGCCCGCAGGCTTGTTGCTGCTGTGGTGCCAGGGGGTGCGGGTGACTCGTGTGGCTCAGCAGAGAGCCCTGCTTCTGCCGTTGACCTGATCCTGTGCAAGGCAGCTTCATTCCAGCTGTTGCCCAGGTGTGCCACACCGGCTTCCCTGTTCTCTTGTAACCAGTATGCCACTAAACTGGTCCAGTGCAATCATCAAAACACATCTAGAACTCTCAGCACCCCCACGCCCCTACTCCTCCAGCCTGCCTCCTCACTTGGACCACTGCTCAGCCTCCACCAGCTTTCCGCACGGCAGCCTGCATCCTTTTGAGACTTACGTAAAGCCCACTCAAACCTTTCGCTCAGAACCACCCGAGGCCCTCCCACTTCACTGGGAACCATCAAGGATCCACAAGGCTGCCTACGAAAGCTCCCCCATCATTACTTCCCACCCCCGCCTCCCATCCTCTGCCTGGTCCTCCCTCTGCACCGGCCCCGGAGCACACAAGAGGCACCCACCCCAGGGCCTCTGCTCCTGTGCCTACAAACGATGCTCCCCCACACCTGTGCCCACACTCACCTCCCTCACTTCCCCCACATCTCTGCTCACTGTCACCTCCCTTGAATCAGCGACACAAACAGCATGCTGCTCACACCTGCACAGGCTCCTGAGACCTGCCACCTCCTCCTCTGCGTCCTCAGCACCCTGTGCACCTTGTACACCTTGTGCTTGCACACTGACCTGTCATTCTCACTCCTGGGTCCCCGGCACGGAGCTCAACGGGCACCTGATGCTCTGGTGGTTCATGTGGTGACTGGGGCGGGGGAACGAGGGCCCAGACCCCCACCCCCTACCGAGGCAGGGAAGCTACCCAGCTCTGCCCTGGCACCCAGACCGGCCCCTACCAGCCCAGCAGCCTCACCTGGCCTTCTCCCACATACAGGACGGCGATCTTGTGTGTGTCGTATGATGGGATCTGGTCAAGGAGCTGCACTGACCGCTCGAAAGACTGTATCCACAGAGCCCTGCCTGAGCCCACAGCAGAGGTGGTCTCCTGCCACCAGCCCCGCCCAGCCAGATGCTGTCCAGGGGAGGTCTCTCCTCACCCAGACAGATTGTACAGGCTGCCGCAGGGACCTGAGGCTGCAGCCCTCTGCAACCCTCAGCCATGGTCACCACTGCCCAGCACCAGGACACCCCATTGCGCAGCCCCACCCAGGTTCCAGGGGGACCCTGTTGGGGAGGGAAGGCCTGCCTACCTCATTCGGCAAAAGGATTGGCTTGTTGGACTCATCACCAAAGAACGGTGAATGGTAGAGCTGCAGAAACACAAAGCTGCAAGAGAAGAGAGATGGTGCAGGTTGGGTTTGGGGCTACAGGCCTGGGTCAAGGTCACAGCCAGTATAGTCACAGCCCATGTGAAGAGCAGCAAGGCCTGAGCCCCATCACCAAAGCAATTACCCTCTCCTGTGGCTCCAACCAGCCATGGGGCAGAGAACACAGGGACCTGTACCCCAGCCTGCTCTGCCTGGGACCCTCAAGCACATCCCCACAGGGAACATCCCAGCACTCCTGCCTAGGAGGGCGAGGCTCACCTGGGGTTGATGCCCGGCACCTTCTCGGTGTTGGAGGTCCCAGCTCTGCTCTTGAAGGCGTCCCTCTCCACTCTCTTGCCCCTGCGTGATGGGGCCGAATCAGAGATGGTGTAGCCTCGAGGCCGCAGGCCACTGGGGGAGCGAGGACAGCTGGAAGGCAAGGGACTCTCAGGCTGGGTGGGGCCCCGGCCCCGGCTCTGGCTCTCTCCGCCCTGGGCCGACCAGGAAGCACCTTCCCCATCCAGGATCCCTGACTGTGACCGGGTCTTGGCCTCAGGGCTCAGCCGGCCAACATCAGCCTTGTCCCCAGGGTCCCCAAGAATGTCCTGTAAGGTCTGCAGTTCAGGTGATGAGCTAGACTTGCTCAGGGGCTGCGAGGGCTGGAAGGCAAGGTCCACAGAAGGCCGGGACCCCTCAGAAGAGACAGCCCGCTCGATGGGGATCCCCCCAGCAGCCAACTCCTCTGCGTGGAAAGACTTCTCCTCCTGGCTAGAGGTGGAAGACGACTGGAAAAAACATACCCAAAGTAAACCTTCATCAAGAGGCGCACTGAGCCCACCTGGGGTTTATCTGAAGGCAATGGGACCCCACCTGTCCTCCAGCCCAGGGCCACA